AGCAAAAAATTGGATTACATCAACAACTCAATCGTATCACTCAAACAACCACAGGCTCTGAGAATGCCCCTTCTATCGCCTTGGGTCGCAAGCCCCCCGCTTTTGTTTGTCTTGCCTCCATCCGCGTGTCGGCGCCATGCTCGCCATCCGCTCAGTCTGGCAAGGAGTTGCCTGTGACCCTCAGGCCTGGGTTGCCAGTGCGCCGTCCTTTTCAAGAATTCAGCCGGGCGACAGTGCGACAGTCAGACGTAACGGGATGAAGCCGCGCTGGTCTCCTGATCTTGGACATTCGAGTGTTTTGGTGATGGTGGGATGGTGGAAAAGTTCGAATGCCGGCCGTCCAAAACGCAAGAGCAAATCTGCCACGGATGTCGCGGAACTGACTTTGGAGTATGTCATGAGGTTCATCTTGACCAAATGCTGCGCAAAGTTGGCAAATTGCATCTCAAGCACCTACATGAACTGCCAAGCCAAGCCTTGGTTTGCCAAAATGTCGTTTGCAGCTCTGCCCCCTAGACAGAACCAACAAGCCCACGGTACCTTTGTAGCCCCAATCACTGCTCCACTCAATGGATGTCATGGGAGTGGAAGACATAGAGGAAAGATGTGTCCACATCTTGACAAGCGTCACTCATCTGGACCAACAAAATTTCGTTCCGATTCTGTTATATATTTAGCCTGCCCTTTTCTAGTACATGAAACTCAAACAGACAGAACACCATTTGGGCATGCATTTTAATTAGGGACCCTCTGGAAAAAGATCATCTAGGGGAGAGACTTCAACTCATTAAAAGTCACGGCCATTTCTAGTGGAAAACCCCCCTTTCTAAGAGGGGTGGCCAACTTTTTGAAGTTCCTCCCGTGGAATTCACGCGGCAAAAAAAAAAAAGAGGCCATGGGCCTTTGGGCGTCTGATCGCCGAATTGGACACGGCAAAATCAAGCAGCTAACCCTCAGTTGGGCGATTTGTATTGGTTTGGATTTGAAGGGGTCCCGGGTTGTTAAGATTGGTGGTTTGCGGCCCGGGTGGTTTGGGGATTTGGACTTGGATTTGAACGGGTCCCTGGTTCTGGTGGGTAGAAGCCTCTCCATTTCACCACACCACCGAATCGGCTCCAAAGCACCAGTTAGAGGGAAGCTGAAATCAAGGGACAATTCGATTCTGGAGGACAACATCAAATGTGAACAGAAAAAACAGAACATTTTAGATAGACAAAAAAAACACTATTTTATTATGACATGTTTAAAAAGAACAAACAGCACCATTCAAGAGGACCGCTCCTTTGATTAAATGAGTCATGACCCCTTTCTGGATTGCTCCCGGGAAATTTGCATTGGGACGAAATGACTTTTCGGACCTTCCCAAAACATGAAGAAACCTGCCAAGTTGTTCAAGTGTGCCAACCTATTCAGTAATATAAACATGTCCAGTGATAGATTCCCTTTAAAACCAGGGGAAACTCAACCATATTCCTCACTCCCTGAGTGGATTGGCTGAAAAAGAAACAAAACTTGGCGTGTGCCACTTAGTTTTTGGTCACCCCCCCAAAAAAAAACGAACTTGGTGTTTGCCACTTGTTCTTGGTTCTCCCCCCTAATATGTGTATATATATATATATATATGTACATATGTATATATATAAATAACGTCCACCAACTTAGGAGGTGAGAAACTCTTCAAGCGAACAGGCGGTGGATGACAGGCACATGGACTCCTTGATGCATGAGGCCACCCGCTGGGCCAGGGAGATGCAGGCGATACGCCTGGCCGTGGCGTCCATTCGCTTCTTCGTCCACTGGGAAAAACATGAGGAAAATATGGCTCTGGGTCAAAAATAGGGTAACCCCAAAATTGGAATCATGGTAAATGGAAACATGGACCAAAACCTGAAAGATGAGGAAATACCGTGGATGGACGAAATCCATTTCGCACCACTTGGAAACCATGGTTGAAACCGTCGTTTGTTGGTATCTACAGGGGAATCATCATTGTAGGGTTTCTTAGGTGGTGCAGGATTGCGCCCATCCACAGTATGTCCAGTGATAGATCCCTCTAAAACCAGGCGAAATCAAAAAACAAGTGGAAGGTGGGTGTCTTTTCTTGCTGGTTTGCGAGAGGCAGGGAATGAGAAAGGAAATGACCACACATAAACCATCCAACGGGTGGTTTCGTTTCTTCAGGAATCCCCCAGACGATAAGTTGGTTTTAGTCCTTCCGATTCCCCCAAGGTGCCATTTTGGTTAGGTCCCCCAGTAGAGAGGTTAGAATAAGGGTACCCTTTTTTCTGTAGTCTATTTTAGTAGGGGAACCCTCCCAACCAAAAAAGGGAGAGAAGGGCACAGGGGGACCTGGTTGGTGCAAGTTCTCAAGCCATGGCCTGGGCTGGCAGCTGGTAGCTGATTCGATCGGGGAAGCCATAGAACTCGAGGAAAAACATTCCCGACGGGCGGATTCCCCACCGGCTTCAACCGACACCCGGACTCGTTCATTCCCGACTGAACACCAGCAAGTGTTTGGGAAGTGGATACCAACTCCCACCAATTCACATGAAACCTGATGTTTGGGGGTTTGGACCAGTGTCCCCAAAAAAAGGGACCGGGTCCCGAACGTCAGGTTCCATGTTAATTTGGATCTCGTGTTTGTGGGTTAAACTAAAAGGACATCCGTCATGGAAGGCTAGAGGGTTTTTTCCTGCTGGTTTTTTGCATCCTTAGCATCACCCTGCGTCACTTGGAGCTGGGCTGCCTATTGGCTCGGATTGGATGGCAGTTGGGAGTTGCTCGGGGCTGAGCAACCCTAAGGCCACCGCTAAACCAACAGCACACGTAACACAAATCAGCTCCAAACGAACCCCAAACCCGCGAGTTTTGGGCTGGTTTTGGGTGGTTTAGGGCAACGCTCCAAAGCCAACCGAATTGAACCAGCCCGCAGCAATTCCGCCACCAAATCAGAGTCAATCGGCAACCCTGGTGGCGGGGAAGCGGTTGCTCATCCGTCGGGGGGGGGGGTCGCGTAAAAATCACTGATTGTTCGAAATCGACTCCCTTCAAAGCCAGGATTAAATTACAAAACCTTAAGCAAACGGCGATTAATTTGACAAAAGACCAAGAAAGGGGTCCGAAAGTTGGACTTTGGCCCAAGAGATGGTCTCAAAAGGTCCTAAGATCCAACACTCATTTTGCACCAACTAATGAGAAACAATTTACGCTTGTGGTGCCGCTTTAATGTGCTGCAGGGGTGGATCCACCAAAGCCGCATCACAACTCCAGCCCACTTTTTACTCTGCAAGCTACCGACCAACAAGGTTCTTGAAAGGAGAATCCTCTAGCAAATCCTCCTTTTTTGGGCAGGGGCCATGTTCATCTGCAAACCTGTAGATGGGATTTAGCCACCATCTAGAGGGCATTCCTGAGGATGTCGAGTTCATGGACCCCTGGCCCTTGATAGAGTCTGGAGGGGTTTTCTTACGCCATTGACCACCTCCCAGGGCAACTTCGGAAGGATCCTCATCGAAGGTCTCGAAGGCTTTCTTTGGGACCGAAACCTGGAACTAAGTTTGTCTCGGTTGGACAAAAAACCGATGTCGAACCGCCAATGGTTCCAGCATTCCTTGGGTGTGTCCGACCGGGGATGCCCTTTGAGGGTTGAAAAAGGGAGCTGTAAAACCAACCAAATGGGGGCATGCTGTTTCTGGTTACACCTAAATGGGTGCTTCTCAAACTCTTACCAAGTCCACCACGTTGATTTCCCACCATCCAAAAAGGGTTCCCGGTTGAATCCACCCCACATGCGCAACTTCTCTGTTGCCCCGAGGATCAGACAAACATGGTTTGCCTTTCGGGACCTTTACTCACCTCTCCCCCGTAGATTGGCCCAAACAAGTCCAAACTTTTTGGTTGCAACTAGAACGGTCTTCCCAAAAAGTGATGTCCAGGAACTGAAGCGACAAGGGTAGTTGAGAGCCCTGGGCTTCACGGTTCCCCAGCATTCCTTTCATTTGGGAGCATGAGGGAAAACCACCCCAGTTGACTCCATGACATCAGCAAAACGAACAACGAATAAGACCTACCCGCCGATGGGTAAGACCTACCCGCTGAGCACCCGTGGACAACGCGCATTTCCCTTTTATCTTCTTCGCTCGCCGGGTCGCCCTTGGTGTACCTCCTTGCGGATCGGATCAATGAATCGATAGACACCTACCGTGTCCAAAGGCAACCCCAATAAATATTCCTCACGTCACGGCTTGCTGGTCTTTTGTCTTTGCAGCTTGCCAAGTACACTAAGAACGCGACGCTTTTAAGAGGTGGAGAAAAAAACAAATCCAAAAACGAACTCAAACAAAAAGGTTAAGCTTGCGAGTGATAAATGGGAGTTTGAAGACAACAAGCAACTACGTATACTCACCTCTGTTGGCTTCGTTTGCGGGAAATCCTTCTGTGCCGTGGTCAAAACTCGACGTAGAGTCCAAAACCCCAAGAGGTTGACGACCATCCGTAGCCCAAGTACATCGATGGGTTCAGGGCTCCTGGGGTGCTAAATTGGGTCTAACAATTACAACTCATTCTTAGGAATATGACCATGTGTTGGCTATTTTTAGGTTCGTGCTCTTTTGTGACCGCAGTGTTTTTTGATCATGGCGCTGATGCTGGCATGGGCTTCCCGTCCAAATTTATTGGCGTGACAAAACCACAACACAAAATGTGGCTGGGTCCCTGCACTTGATGGATGAAACTGGATCAATGCCTGATGAACCTTCTAACAACTGGTGCAGGATCTTGTCCCCCCACAGTAATTTGCAGCAGGGAGTTGAATTTGTCACAACTCCATCTCGAACACGATTGAGGCAAGGCACTAAAGTTGCGCACCAAAAGCATGGTACTAAATCTCGACTTCCTGAGTAAGTAGCCAAAAACAGTCTGAACTTGGCAGCTTACCACTAAAATAGTCCGACCCCAAAAATATAGATTCTGGTTGGGGCTTGCCATTTTGATGACATGGCTCACCTCACCCCGCCGAGACCAGTCCTCAGCATGTCCGCGGTGATAGGCAAATCGCGCCTGCGCAAGTTTCCACTCGGACCCAGAACCCGCAATGAAGCGTCATTACGAACTCCGCCTTTCCCCTACTTGTGTGTTCGGCCAAGATAGTTGCTGGTAGCCTAGGTTACTTAGGTTCGCCTTCCTAATGCCTGAAAAAGCTGGTTTTTGCTTGTTTCAGAAAGCTTGGAGAACCTTCCAAACTCGGCCGTAATTGTTGCAGGCAGTGATGCTTACTGTCTTGCCGTCAGAACAGGCTTACTGTGTCCCATCCGGCAAGAGTAGCATGTCTGCTAGTGCATGTTGGCGCACGACCGGAGCGTTTCTGGTCTCAGAAGCCTTGCGTGGCATGCATGTAGCACCAGGGGAAGCAACGGGAACAAACACAAATTCCTTTTGCACTCGGCCGTAGTATTTCACAACTTCTCATTCCACGCACAAGCAAATGGGAAAATAAAACGGCCAAAATAAAAAATGTCTTCCAGGCTCCAAGGTTGTTTTGCAGGGGGTCATAACCTATGGCTAAACGCTTCGCAACTTGGCCGACCCAAGTAAGAGCACCTCCCTTAAGAATCTTGGAACCTCAAAAGGAGGTCCGGACCCTACGGAAATCCGTTTCACACCCCCCCCATTTATAGGGCCCAATAGGATAGTTCTGAAATCCGAGAAGGATTCCAACCCGAGTGGTAAGGGGCGACTTCGGGACACACATCTGCGCAAATCACAATTCATCAGCCTGAGATGCGCAGGCCCCAAAGAAAGACTCAACTTTGTCATGGAGGCACCCTCCCACAGCTTCTTTGCCATGTCCAAAAGCCCAGGTGAGGCCATGTCGGCCGGGAAACGCGGTGAAAATGGAGTCAAACATCCCCATCCCCACGCTTTTTCCAGGTGGGTACCCACTCAAGACATGATTGCCCGGCCCACCAATGGGTAAAATCCATGTTCAAAAGTTGCTTGTTGGAGGATGACTTAGGGCGCGGGGATAGACAAAAGCAAGCCCAAGCACATGAGCCTGGCAAGTCCTAGGCTATGCAGCTAATCGCCGATCTACCCTGCAAACATGGTGTGCAATTTCACTTTCAGCTCTGTTTGGAAGACCAATCCTGTCATTTTAGAAACAGAGCAACGCATGTGTCTGTGTGTGTTGGTGTGTTGGCATGTTGGTGCGTTGGTCTGTTAGTGTGTTGGTGTGTTGTCGCGCTGGTGTGCTGGCGTGCTGCTGTGTGTGTGTGTGTGTGTGGACGCCGGCGTGTTGGAGTTTTATGGTGATGGTGTGTTGGGGCTCCTTTGGATGGCTAGAATCTCTGGCAGCCAGTATAGCCAAATGAGTGTCTTTTTGAGGGTAGTCTTTTTGGGATGATTATACAGGGAAACAAACGGGAAACCGCGAATTCGAGGGTTCCCTATTTTGAGACATACCCAAATACCGATATGATCGACCCAAGCTCAATCCGCAATTCAAGAAAAACGTCAAGCATAGCTAACAAGACCCCTTCGTTCCTGTCCAAAACCAGTGGCCTGCTTGATTTCTCAGCAAACCCAACCATTTTTGGTGGGCTTTTCCACCAACTGAGTTCAATTGCAGTTTGTTTTCTTCTTCGGGGGAACGCTTCTTCACACCCGTTTCGTGGTCTTGGGGAGGGTGCCCCTAAAACAACCACCCAATTTTCTCCTTGGCCAATTGCATAGAACTCTGGACCGCCACCGCATCCATCGCCTGGATGCCTCCGTCTTCACCCGCAGCATGGCCGCGTCCCTCGGAACGGAGCCGAAAACCGCTCCGCGCGCCGAATCGAATCCGTTGGGACCTCCAATGACCCCATGTGGGTCTGACGTCACCCCCTGACGAAAGGGTGAAAGATCATGGCGAAGATGGCCCGTCAACTGCCCTGGGCGCAACCAGAAAACGGAGCGAAGGCTACTTCCCAAAAGAAAAAGTTACTGCCGCATTGCCACTTGGGGGGCCAAACAGTCCAGTCTCTGGGAACTAGGTGAGTTCCAAACGCGAGTCTACCGGTCTGAGCAGAATTCCACATTGACAAAGTAGTCATGGACACCATAGTTGATTCTGGAGATCCGGGCCATATTGCAACCAAAAACACGTCTGATTCTGAGGTGGTGTGTAAACGGTATGTACCATAGGTCCTGAGAAATCCCTGCCATGTTAGAGACGATGTCCGCCCTGCGGAGCCAACGGGGTGGTGCTCTCGGAAGCGCAACGCGCAACCCGGCTCCATGTTAGGAAAAGCAATTTGCAAACACCCGCCAAGACAAGGGGGGGATGTCCTGCAAACCGTACCTGGCTTGGTTGTGTCTTAGCCAAAAAGTGGAATCCCAGCGTGTTTACCATGATAAATGGGACAGAGGTTGGCGGGTCTATGTTCGTGGTCAACGTGTTTGCCGTGGTTACGATTGCATCGTCGCAACCGAGGGTGATCTAGAACTCACTTCCCGAGTGAATTGGCCCAAACGAGTCGTTAAACTTGTTATTTACTACCAAATCAAGGCCAGGAACTCGGGGAGTGAGTCCTCCATTTGCTCAAATCCCGGGAAAAAATATGCATATATCCAGCAAAACCGATTTCCCTGTAAAACCAACAGGAAAAAAGTAAACAAAACTCCTGAAACGCAAATGGAAGGAGTCTGTAAGCCAAAGCGACCCCCGCGCAACCCCCAAACAAAAATCCGGGCCCCCTCCGCTTTGCCTGAGATGGAGCTGCTCCCGAGGCCACCAGCCCTGCGCATCGACAATTTTTTGGGGTGCAAGCCACCAGTAGAACAATGGGGGCTCATATATCCACCATAATTTACCTAAGGGTTGTCATCCAAACATAGTTTACTTAAGGGTTGTCATCATCCAAACATAGTTTATCTAAGGGTTGTCACCATCCAAACATAGTTTACCCAAGGGTTGTCATCCTAATTGGGTCAACCTTTCTTTTAATGGGGTTGAACCCTAGGGAAAAATGAGTTGCCCGGTTCAGCCAAAGTTTCCTGCTGATGCGAGAGATGCAGGGAATGAGAAATGGGATGACCCCGTAGAAGGTGATTTCCTTTAACGGAATCCCCAGGGAATGAACCCCCTCATTCCCTGCTGAGCACCAGCAAGTTGTGTTGGGCTCCCGTATTTTGAGACAAACCCATTGGGAGACAACCCATAGCCACTTTGCTATGAACCCATGGCAAACTCAAGATGTTCATTTTAATCGACCAGATTTTAGGGTATCCACAGTGACAAAAGAAAAGAAAGGAACCTTTTTTTGAGGTTGGGAAGCCATTCGGGAACCCACACCAAAAGGGGGGAACTGGGGTGCGAGGAAAAGTCTGGTCGCCTACATCCAAAGTGTCTGAGAAGCTGCTCAAATGAGCGGAGGTACCCTCCAACAGGCCTCTGCCGGAGCTGCAAATGCAAGAATTGGATCACGTAAACTCACTTGCCCAAATGACCTGCTAAAAGTGGACCAAAATTGTAAAACCAAAAGGTCAAAAGGTCGTCTTTGAACAACTGAGTAAAGGGCCAGCATTTGTAGTGAAACCCATTGACTTTTGGTGCTACCTACATGGTTGCGAAGCTTTCGATATGCCAAAAACGGTATCTGACACCAGGTACAACCACCCACTAAGGACTCTTTCTCATTCCGTTTTGGACCCCGGAAAAATGCTTTCTCCTCGGACGAAGTGTATCCCCGCAAGGGGTCCCTTGACTTGCCTGCGAATTCCTAAGAGGCAAGAGGCCACGGCAACTCCCGATTTTTTTCGGTCCTTAAGGGCAAAGACCAGCGTCGCCAGGTCTTTGTCCTTGGAGCCAACAAAAACCCACGGGGCCGGCAACGGCCGCTTGTCGGTTTAAACATAACAACGGAAACTCACGAAAAACGGGTACTGGCAAACTTGGAGCAACTCTGGTGAATTGGTGTCAAGCGTGATTTGGGCTAGCCATTTATGTCCAAGTCCGCAAATACAAAAAATACAGTTTATCACATTCAAGCAATGACACAGTGTGATAAACCAAAGAAAACTCACCAAATGTGGCGCCGCAACAAAACCCCATAAGACACATACGGCGTCGCCAATTAAATATAATGTCTGGACACCTAATTCAAATAGGCCAACAAGGATGTTACTCTACCTCCGCAAGGGTTGCCGCCGGCCCGGCCCACGAATTCAAACATACGATTTGAATAGGTACCTCGTGTCATTTCTTGAAAAGTTGCTTTGGCGCGGCTCAGCTACTTAAACACGCGGAAATGTTCGGGCGGGAGGGCTAAAAGCTGGAAAGCTGCAAAACTCTGGAGGAGAGCTGGAAGGCTGCAGGGCTGGAGGCTGGAGGGCGAGCTGGGAGGGCACTGGCCAGGGCTTAAGTTTTATGCCGTCCCGTGTTCGAAAGAAGGGGTCTGATCCGATGAAAACGAATCTTTCATAACGCCAGGGCCTGTGAGGGCCCGGCCAGCCACTTGAAATATCCGATTTAAACATTGTTTTACCCTACCTCCCAGCTCAGCCCCGGCCCGGCATTTACACGTCGTCACACATATTGCTACGATTCCAAAGCCTGAAAGCTAAATACACGTTGGATCCCCAAGTAAGAGACCTATATACATCATGAGCTCGTCTTACCCTGAAGGATGCTCGTTATAGGACATGGTTGCCCGCAAAGCAAATGCCAACCCCAATGGGGTACATCCCAGCTCCAACTCCTCCATATGTTACGACTCGACTGCTTAAGTCCCCAGGAAAAATATGTCCAGCAGTGATAGTTTGCCTTTGAAACCAACAGGGGAAAATACAACATATCCAAAAACACAAAAGGAAGCTGTACCTACATAGAAATCAGCCACATAAAGTTCGCCAATACCTCGGCGGGTTGGCTGAGTACCTTCAGAATTCCCTGCTGGGGTCTATGAACATGGAATCACAAGAGTACCTTCCGAGCCCCAGTGACCCCAATACAAAAATACTTGGTCTTCTCTTTGGAGCTGATCCGATTATAGCAGGTCCTCCAGTAGAGAGGATAGAATAAGGGTACCAACTTCTTTCTGTAGTCTAATTTAGTAGGGGATCTCCCCCCCCAAAAAAAAAACTGTAAAAGGGCACCTAGCTGGGGGACCTATTGGAGTGGCGCCAACGAACCCGGAAAGAAAAAAAAGAGGAACGGGTGGAATCCAGGGAGCCAAATGAGCCACACCCAAATTTCACTGGGCATGGGCTGGTTTGTGTGGTCGAAATTCAGAGCTCGTCCCCCATGTCCCTCCCAAATGGAGCAAAAGCCCTTCCAATGACACAGAGTACTCCCTACGAACATGTTTTTTCCCACAGTCAATATCAAAAATTGCAATCCTCTAAGCAATACTAAGCCAATCTTATTTCGAGACCCTCAGAACCATACTAATCTAACACTAAACCAATATTAAGTCGCGCGCATATTGGAAACACCTAACAATGACATCGATCTCTACTGAACAGATTCCTTACTCGGATTCCTGTTGAAAATTGCCTATTGCCCAATGTTCCTCCAAATTCCTTTCAAAATGGCTTATTGCCCCAAACTTGCTGGGTGACTTCCCTTTTTCATGGCTAGTTTGAGGGCCCAGGGGGCGTTGTTGCTTTTTTTCCCGCTGCCAACCCTTTCGAGTGGCGTTGAAGTCGTCCGGTCGCCGGTACAGCTCCTCCGTCAAGGGCCCGAGCCTCCGTCAAGAAACCCAGAAAGGGGTGGGTGGGTGGAGCGCACCAAAAATCGGCAGAGTCCAACTTGGGGGAAACCCTTGCAACAAACCTTAACGGGTTGCCTAGTAGCCACAAAAACCAACCTCTCAACAACCTTTCAAACGGTTTAATCTCCCCTTCAACCTTCACCTCAAAAAGGGTAGCCCGAAAAACATACACGTACATAAATGGATTGATGAAAGCAATTGAAAGCAGTTGAAGTTCGTCTCTTGTCTTTGGCAATCCCCCCCACACACACACACACACACACACACACACACACACACACACACACACACACACACACACACACACACACACACACACACACACACACACACACACACACACACACACACACACACACACACACACACACACACACACACACACACACACACACACACACACACACACACACACACACACGCACACGCACACGCACACGCACACGCACACGCACACGCACACGCACACGCACACGCACACGCACACGCACACGCACACGCACACGCACACGCACACGCACACGCACACGCACACGCACACGCACACGCACACGCACACGCACACGCACACGCACACGCACACGCACACGCACACGCACGCGCACGCACACACACACACGCACACGCACACGCACGCACCCACACACACACACACACACACACACACACACACACACACACACACACACACACACACACACACACACACACACACACGCACACACGATGAAAGCAGTTGATATCTGTTGTTGCCTTTGGGGCCAAACAAAACAAACATAAGCCCAGAGAGTATCCCCCACCTCGCACCTTCTTGGAACCTTGCATCCCGGAACCCCTCAACTATCAACCCCAGAATTGCCGGATGGAACCCATAGCTGGGGGGCAAGCCTAAGTTGTTGGGAAGATCAGGGTTTACCAGACCGCCTTTACATTTCTGTACAGTTCGACCAGGTGAGAGTGGGGGCAGTTCCTATTTGCTGGTGCAAGATCATGACTTGAGTGGCTCAGCATGTGCGGTCCGACCACTGTCCGTTGGGAAAGAAACGGACCCCACCAAGAGCGTCTGCACCTTGAGGAGGGTCCAAAAGAAACGGTTCAACCGGAGAAAAAACAAGAAGTTCTTGCAGATTGACATGACCCCCCTCCCAGGTTCTTTGCAGAGGACTCTCCTTTTGCCGGACGACTCAATCAAACACCATTCCACAATTATTTGCTTGGTCTCCACCAAAGCTTTGCTCAAATCTGGGGTGGTCGCTTTTTTATTTGCCTCCAAATGCAACATCATATCGACTTTGAGGCTTTTCAGCTGTTGGTTCACATTTAACTTTAGTTGAACAAGTTTTCAGATTCTGGTTCATCTTTAGTCTCCCTAGCGTCTCCATGACTCTTCAAAAACAAAGCCAATACTCAAGACAAAATAGGCATGGCCACATTTTTTAGCTGGTGCTCAGGGAATGAGTTGAAATGACCCTTATAAACCATCCAACTGGTGGTTTCCTTTAAGGGGACCCTGGGTTCATTCTAGGGGACACTTCCCCATTCTTTCCAGGGATCCTTCTTTCCAGAAAACCATCAGAACCCCAGGGGAAACAGCTGGTGTTGAAAAGAACGATGGTTGAGAAGAACGGAAAAGGAAGTAACCCCTAGATTCATTCCGCATTTCGGAATGCAAACTGCAGGGCATCATAGTATCCCACAAAAACCAAAAAAACAGGGGGCCCCAAAAAACAGGGTCTGAACAATAATGGTATCATATTTCAGAACACAACCAGGGGGCCCCAAGAAACCTCACGCCCAGCGAGGGCATGGGTCCCGGGCAGGCGGCCAAAGGCGATGCCGGCAGCGCCCGAAGACCAACAGAGGGTCACCAGCGCCTGCGCGATGGCCGTGGTGGCGCCGGTGGCGGCGGTTGCGTCCGTGACGGCACCAACTGGAACACCTTTCTCGTTGAAATCCTTGAAACCCTTTCTACGTTTCACCAACTGGTGCTAAAACCCTTGAAACTGCCTCAAGTAGACTAAACTTGGTAATGTTAGATAGTTTCGTCAGAGATGATTCAAACAATTGGCCAAACTCTCAGAACTTGGGTGGTTTCTGAAAAGAACGATGGGTGTAGAGAATTGGGAATCAACCCTCACGAGACTTCCCTATATTCCCCTCTAAAGATCACCCCAACAAAAGGAAACATATTTCAAATTGTGGGTGCGTTGTCTAAAATGACAATAAGGAAATATTACAGTAAAACTCTGCTTCTGACTGAGCCAAAGCACCCAGCTGAACCTGCCCCGATCTCCACATCAAGAGATTATCCTGCAAACTTTCGAGTCTTAAACAAATAGGTGTCTCTGCATAAACCCTTCCAAATGGGTGGTTCCGCTTGAATTTCAATGAAAGACACCCTCCAAAAAGAACACACACACACACAAATTCTGCAACCAACCCTGGTGTCTTGGCCCGCATCTGCAGTACTCTGAACCATGTTTGGTTCTGTTTCAACCCGGAGTCTCCATGGCTTTGACCTTTTAAGAACAAGTCAGTACTCGAAGGAAAGAGGTCACCCCCTTCTGAAAGGGTCAAATGCGGACTCCACAAACTTCCATTTGGTTAAGACCCCTGGAAAGCATATTTCACGTAGTGATACATTCCCTGTAAAACCAACAGGGGAAAATGAACAAACATATTTCAGCAAATGGGTCGAGATTTAATTTGGGATTTTTTGTTGTTTTATTTTGGGATTTGTTTTTGTTTTCCGTCCTGGCTACTAAAATGCTGTAATTTACAGCATTTTCTCGCGAAATGTACGTATTTTACGCTAGTCCGTCAACATCATCAGCATCGTTTTCAACATCCCCCGCATATCCAGCCAACATCCCCAGCATCACCAGCAAATGTAAAAACGTGGCGGCAGCCCCCCCTGAAAAAGTGACGACGGCAGCCCCCCCATGATGATTGAAGAAGTGATGATTCAAAAAGGGCCAAAACAAATATTAAAAAAAAAGCAAAAACAAAAAAAACAGTGGGGGGGGGGAAAAAATGTAGAAAAGGCTTGTCCTAGGGGGTGGGGGGTAGATGGTTGCCTGTTCTGTTTTCTTTTTCACATTTCAACGCGTGAACCACCTTATCCGTTTTTTCAAGGCTGATTTTGGGGGCATGAAATAACGATATGGATGTGGTAACGAATTGATGATTTGGTCCCCTGTCTCGTTCCAGATTTCAACTTTTAGTTTTATTGATTGAAAGAGGTTAGGACTTTCTGTGGATTCACGGGTTGGCTTTTGGTCGGGTCTTCTGGTTTGTCATTGTTTTGCCACCGTTCGCCCCGTTGCCACGTCCTCATTGACATCGTCTTCTGTTTCCGTCGGGAGACTCAGACTTCGAATGGACGTTTGAGCAGACAAGCTTGAGACCACTTGGTTGAATTGAGTTTTACCATTCGTTGTGCATTCTGAGATGAGGACATTTGAGCGAACGCACTTGAGCATTAACTGACTTGAAACAACCGAAGCCTTCTGCTTTCAAGCATTCCAAGCGTCCAAGCACTTTTCTATCTTTGAGCAGTCATGTCTGTCATCGCTTCCGAGAGCGGGTCAGAGTTTGGCATGAGCCTTGAGGAGATTGAAGCCCTTGAAGTTTCGTCGGTGTCAGAGAGTGAAGAGTTAGAGATTGATGAAGGACTGGAACAGTATCCAGACGCGATGCTGATTTCGGAAATCCTTGAGATTGCCACCAACCGTGAGAACCTCAAGGGCATCGACATGGAGACGCTCAAGACTTCGAAGGTGGTGTTGATGAACCACCTTGACTACCTTGAGAAGCATCAGAAGCACTTGCGTCAGGCATTGACCAACGTGAATAAGGAAATCACGGCATTCGAGAAGAAGGTGATTGATGAGATGAAGGATGAGAAGAAGAAGCAGGCATCCCAAGCGCTCCTAGAGAAGAACTACGAGGAGTTTGAGATTTTCATCCGCCCTGTTGGTTTTGAATGGTTCTCCACCACATTCACCCTGATGGTTTGCTTGGCTACCACGTTCTCCAACCTGCGTGAGTTGATTGTCTCCCGTCTTCTTTCGGAACTCACGAAGGTGAAGAAGGTGAGGATCACCCAGAAGGCGCAGGAGGCAATGGAGAAATCCATTAAGCTTACCCATGACATCCTTGACCTGAACCGCCATGGACGCAAGTCATTGGGCAAGGTCGGAGTTCAGAAGGGCATCACCATTACTTGCTCAATCAAAGGGCGTGGCGGTGGCAAGCGAGCACACTCCTCTCGGGAACAGCCAGTCAGTGAGAAGGACTTGCGCTTCAACATCACCAACACCATCGGACAGCTTGAGACAAACACGGAGACACCGTTCATCGCCATCATCGTCAGCAAGGTGAAGGAATTGATGGAAACCATCAATGAGAACCCAAAGAAGAGCGCCACAACGCTCATTTCCAAGCTCGGCAAGAAGCAGTTGAGCACCATCATCACTGACACCTTGAACCACTCGACAAGGGTGGCAACAAGGGCACAGTTTGTCGCGGAGAATGTCTTTGATGATGAGTTCAAGACCATCAACAACATCAAGAACTTTTGCGAGATGACCCAGAACTTGCTGACCAATGTTGTGCTGGTTACCATCGTTTGCGAGTACTCCGAGCCCAACGGTTCCATCGCTTGGTCTGCTTTGACAAGGGTAGCAACGCAGAAGCTTTCGGAATCCGACGTGTCAGAGAATGGGACCAACTGCTCTGTCTCCTGAGGAGGACAGTTTGGAAAAAAAAGAAGTTTCAATTTCCACCAGGGAAATACATATTTCCACCACTGAAAAGAACACTTCTTTCCACCACGGAAATACATATTTCCACCAGGGAAATACATATTTCCACCACTGAAAAGAACACTTCTTTCCACCACAGAAATACATATTTCCACCATGGAAATATGTATGTCCACCATTGAAATAAACACATATTTCAACCAAGGAAATACATATTTCCACCAGTGAAATAAACACATATTTCAACCAAGCAAATACATATTCCTACCATAGGAATACACATTACCACTGTTGAAACATTCCTGTGAGGATTGAGCCCACGTGGTCTCATCGGTGTGTCTGAGAACACGGCTTTTTGATTGACCACATCTTGGATGAAAGACATCCACGGCTTTGCGCGAGATTGAAAAATAGCTGGAGCTTGCAATTAGTGATGCTTGCACTAGACACTTTTGACTGACACACTTGACATTTGAGAGTTCCTGCTAGTTTTGACACTCAAAGCACCTGCCTCACTGCTCGCCCGTCTTAGCTATGGCTTGTGATGAATGTGTCCAACTACGTGCTCAAATTGAGACACTCCAAAATGAGATGAGAGCAAAGGACTTGGTCATAGCCAACAACTTTCAGCAAAACCCGCTGTATGAAGAAGACTATGGGCTTAGCTTTGTCTTTACCAAGCGTGCCTGTGAGGATTTGTATTTCCAAAGTTTTGGGGGTGGCAAGTCCTTCAGTGATGAGGAATGGGTTTTCGTCAAAGACCGGTTCAATGAGTGCATCGCAACACAGGCTGACTATGCGCAGGGTGACTTTGACGACTTGAAGCACTACGCCAGAGACGCTATGTGGTATGTGCTAGGTTTTCCGGTATGCGTGCTGTTCTTCAGGGGCGACTTCTACAATCCTCCCATTCGCAGAATTGATGTTCGCATCACTGTTGGCAACGGCTTCTACGTGACCAACATCACCACCGAAAACATCCTTGAGGTGCTTTGGGAGAAGGAAAAGAACGTGTGGCTCAAGGAGAACGGCTGGTGCAAGCACGAAATCACCTTGAGGCTCCTGAACACCAGATACAGCGAGGTTGATGACGAGCTTGAAAACTTCGGGGGACACTTCAACGACCTCTCCGTCAGACACCGCAAGAAGTATTTGCAGGTCAATTCACAGCAGAGCTCTGAACTCAGCTTTGATAGTGGTGACATTTGGGAGAGGCTGATTGACAGCCCTATCCAGATGAACCTTTACAACAGATTATGCGAATGTGAGCAGGAAGAGAGCGAGCAGGAAGAGTGCGATGATGAGTGCGATGATGAAATTATCGACAATGACTGATTGACATGTTCGCTTTACCACTCAACAAAATGAACAGTGTTGGTGGTTCTACTTCATCTGAAAAAAGATGATTACAGACTTGGAGTTGCAGGGAAAACAAAAGAGTTCGAGCAGTTTCATCTGACATTTGACAGGGTTGGTCTCGATGTTCAAGACATCCTTGAAAGGCAGTTTTTTTTTTTTTTTTTTGTTTTTTTTTTTTTGAAGGCTTGGAGGTTCTGAGGTTTGATAGGTGAGGCTATCGTTCTGGACACGCTTTTTTTTTGTTCTGTGACACCAACCCACCACACCCTCCCCTACTTTTGATAGTCTCCGCACCTGCCGCACTCTGAGGTTGTGAAGTCATCGTCCTCATCGACTACGATGCTGTCGCCTTCTAGGTTCTGGGTCGGGTGGGATGGGAGGGTAGGGAGGGAGGGTTCTTTCCTTAAACTTGTTGTTTAATTGAAAGGGGACACTATCGCCAATTTTCTGTTTCAATGTTTGTCCCCAAACCCAATTTTCAAGGTTTCTTCCCTCTCGACCCTTCAACTCCACTTTCTGAAAACCCACCAAAACAAGGGCATAATCCGCCATTTCCCAAATAATCCAAACCCAAAAAATCACAAAATCCATTTCAAGTTCATCACCAACGACCCCAATTTCAAGTTTCAAGCCCAAGCCCAAACCCTCCACTAAATAATTCTAATAATTTCATATTATTAGAATTATTTAGATATTTAATTTATTGTGTAGTGTCGCGAAGCTCACTAGGCTATTGCTTCGCAATAGCGTAGTGTCCATACGGGATTGAATTGAAAGCATCAATATAAAACCTTTTGTTCTCATAATTACTGAGTGATTGCTTGACTTGAGACATTGAATATATTTGATGTGTTTTGCTCCTGATGAAGTTGTAGGAGATTTCGTGCTTTTTGTTGTGATGCAGTGCTTCATGATAGTTCTGATAGGTCAGTTCCTTCTTCACCTTGTGCTTGACTACACCTTTTGATTTCTTGTGTTCCTCATCCTCGCCGTGGATTGTGAAAGCATAGGATTTAGGTTTCAACCCGATGAATCTAGTAATGATTTTTCCAGTGACTTCATCTTTGTACATTCCTAAGACCTTCTTATTTGTTGTGTCATGACATGGATGTTCAACAGGATAATCACTAAAATCCATATGTTGCTTGATACCTTGAAAATCCTTGTAGATATCATCCGTGAAGGTTTGAATTACATAACTGTCAGTATCTGTATATATCAATTTGATATTTTCGTTGTATTTCTTTTTCAACACACCATAGTAAAACTCATACATATGTAATTTACTTAAATCAAGAATGGTCATTCCTAAGAATATAGGTTTATCAAGTTTCAAGACCGACTTTGTCTTTTC